GAAGCATCTGTTCATCTCAGCCACCTATTTTCTCATTGGATATTTTATTTTGGAGGAGTTCATTTTTTTGAGTTTTTTTATATAGTCTAGATATTTGTCCTGTGTCTGGGGAGCAGCTGGACAAAACACCTTCCCATTCTATAGGTTTTCTCTTCACATTATTGGTTATTTCCTTTGCTGTGGAAAATCTGTTTAATTTGATATGATCCCAATTGTTGACTGCTACTGAATTATTTCTTGTGTAACTGGGGTTGTGCTCTGGAAGTCCTTGCCTATGCCTGTCTTCAAGAGTTGTACCTATTTCTTCTTCCATTAGATTAGTCATTTCTGTTTTAAATTAGATCTTTGATCCATTTTGATTCTTTGTAATTTTTTTTAGTCTCAGTTTCATGAACTTTTGCTCTGACCTTTATAATTTCCTTTCTTGTAAAAGCTTTGCATTTGGATTCTTGGTTTTCTAGGACTTTAATGAGCATCATGCTATTTACTTGGGCTCATTTGTTTTTCTGATGTGAGCATTTGCTGCAATAAACTTCCTTCTTAGGACTGCTTTCATTGGGTGCCATAAGTTCTGATGTTGTACTGGTGTTATGATTTGATTCTAAGAACTGTCCAGTTTCTCCCTTGATTTCTTCTAGGGCTCATTGATTATTCAAAAGGGTATTATTTAATTTTCATGAATTTGCATAATTTCTGCAGTTTCTTTTGCCATTGATTTCTAGTTTCACTGCACTATAACCTGATAATATGCATGGGATAAGTTTGATTCTTTTAAATTTACTTCAGCATGCTTTATGCACTAGCATGTGGCCTATTTTGGAGAATATTCCCTGTGTTGCTAAGAAGAATGTATACTCTGTAGTTGCCTGAACACCCAGTAGATAGCTATTAAGGCCATTTGTCCCAAAGTTTGGTTTAAGTCTGATACTTCTGTGTTAATTTTTTGGTCTAGTTGACTTGTATATTTCCAAAAGTGGGGCACTGAGGTTCCCAGGATAAATATGTTTCTCTGATCTTTCATATCCAGTAGTGTTTGTTGAGTGAAGTTGGGTATACCAGTGTTTGGTGCATACATATTTATAATTGTTATATCTTCTTGAACTTTTCCTTTAATCATTATGGAGTGACCTTCTTTGCCTCTTCTGATCAGTTTTAGCTTGAAGTCCATTTTGTCTGAAAACAGAATAACTACTCCTGCTGGGTTTGGGGTTCCAGTTGCATGGAATATTGTTTCCACCCTTTGATTTTTACTCTGAATTTCTTTTGGGTTAAATGTTTTTCTTATATACAGCATATTGTTAGGTTTTGTTTCTTGACCCATCATGTCAATCAGTGCCTTTTGATTTGGAAGCTGAGATCATTCACACTGAGAATTACTGCTGAACGATATTAACTTATTCCCATCACTGCATTATTTTCCTGTTGCTGACCCTCCACCTCTGCCTTTTGCTTAACTGCTCACCCTGACTGATATATTCATTCTATCAGAGTTTTGGCATTGTTGGCTTTACTGTCTCTTTCTCGGATATCCTTGAGAATTTTTTATAGCAACGGTTTGGCAGTCATGAATTTCTTATGGTGCTCTTTGTCATGGAAATACCTTATTTGGCCATCGCTTTTGAAAAATATTTTTGCAGAATGTGTAATTCTGGGTTGGAAGTGGTTTTCTTTTACATTTAAAACATTTTACTCCAAGCTGTCCTGGCCTTAAAGGTTGTGTTGAGAAGTGTGCTGTAATTCTACTGAATTTACCTTTATACGTGGTTTTTTGCTTTCCTCTAAGAGCTTTTATGATTCTGTCCGTGTTGGGCTTCTGGGATTTTGACTACTATGTTTTGTGGTGAACTTCTTTCTTGATCATGGCTATTTGGGATTCTATATGCCTCAGGTATCTCTATGTTTAATTCTGTATATTTTAATTTTTTGCTATTATTTCTATAGACAGGTCTTTATTCCATTTGTGGTATCTTCTGATTTTTCACTAATTCCAATTAATCTTCATTACATCACCTAGCTGCTATTGGATTCATTTTTCATGTTCTCTTATTATCTTTAAAGTATCTCTGAGCAACTGGCCTCCAACAGTAGCCCTATCTTCTAGTTCTGACACTGTGTCCTCACACTGGTCGTTTCTGTTGCCTACATTTTCAATGTAATTTTTAAACTCCTTAAATTCTATTTGGAACCTTTTTATGGACCTCAGTTCTTTGCTAAACTGGTCATGCAGGTTTTTAAAGCTTAGCTAGCTTTTTATTAGTGTCATCTATAAACTTGCTTATCTTTTTCTTACATCCATTATCTGTTCAATTATGGTTTCTTTGAGCTCACCAAGCACCTTATGGACCTGTTTTTATTATCTTTTGTGGTCCTTTCAAATAATTAATCTGTGTGGCTTTTCATTTCCTCCCCTTCAATGCTCTACAGATTGATTTTGAGGTAGCTGGAAGGTTTAGGAGGCATTTGTTGTTGTCTTTTCATGTTACTATTTTTGTTATTTTGTGCTGAGGCTTGCAGGCTTACGATAAAACACTGTTGCTAGTATGGAGATCTCTTTATTTATTGTCTGCTTTTCAATGATACATTCTGGGTGTGACTAACAATCAGCCTTTGCCTCTGTCCAGAGAAGAACCATCTCTATTAATTTGGAAGAGGAGAATGCAGTGTAACTGGCTCACCATTTACTTCACCAGTAAGGGAAGTGAGTGGTGAAGTGACACTAAGACAAATTAAATATAAACACAGTCAATATGGTAAATATCACCTAAGTGGGACTATACTTTCAATAACAATAGAATTAAAACAGTAATAGCATAGAGTTAACTACTTTTGTTTTGTTTTGTTTGTTTTTTTTCTCCGGTACCGGAAACCAAACTCACGACCTTGCGCTTGCCAGGCAGACGCTTTGTCGCTGAGCTAAATCCCCAGCCCAGAGTTAACTACTAATGATAAATAAAACTCAATCATTATACTAGTAAAGATCTAAGAACAGGGTAAGAAAAGCAAGGGGGCAGCAAAAAGAAGTGTTAATACATTGGTATAGTCAAAACCAGTAGAAAAGATAGAGGAAATCTGAAATTATAAATCAGGTGCCCCTAGATTTAATCTTGTTCTTAAATACTTGACAAGAAAATGAAAATACAACTTGGCTATCTTTTGCGTGATTTCACAGCCTCTACTTCTCATGTCTTACTGCCATGAGAACTAGTTTCACACAGATACTGACCTCTCCAGTGGAGGCATAATCTGACAATGCTGCTTTCTGTACTTTTTGTACTTCCTGTATTGACAGCGTTTCTCTGAGAATAAGGTGTGCGGTGATCCTAGGGAATAGTTCAGTATTCAAGAACAAACAATTGAGAAGTACGGGGGAGTTCATGTCCATAGAGCCACACCCTTAAGCATGAACAAATTTCAAAGGATAAAATGCTACCTACACTTTCATCCAGTGGGTAGGTAGTTCCAAGATTACTGCATGAAACTCTTTAGAATGTCTAATAGGATGGATCTCCAGGTACCTGGAGTGATAGCCAATTTAAAAATGGATTCTCTTAGTTTTCTTGTCATTCCATTTTACAGTCCAGTCCCTTGGTAGAGTTCCTAGGTATCACTACACAATACTTTACACATAAACCTTGTCTTAGGCTCTGCTTTAAGGAAACCTAGACTAAGACACCGTCTTCCTAATAGTCTGACTCTGACTCAAGTTGAAGGATATATCAAAACTGAGAAGTCCACCTTGGCTCTATCTTTTCATTAATTCAAACTTAGTACTTGAGATCAGTAATTTACCAAGTGACAGAAAGGTAACACGAACACAGCACATCAGAGAGGGAAAGCAAGTGTAAGAGATAGTATTTCACATGTATTCACTTTGTACACAAAGGAACAAGTTCAGCAATGTGGACTGATTGTCCTAATATAGTGAACCCAAGTAATAACAGTATTATTAAATCCATACTCTGGGTTGGGGATATAGCTCAGCAGTACAAGCACCTGCCTGGCAGGCGCAAGGCCCTGAATTCGATTCCTGGTACCAAAAAAATAAGTAAATAAATCCATACTCTGTATAATACAGGCATGACACAGTGAATCTCTTCAAAGTGGTCCACTACTCCTCACAGCTAATCTCTGAGGGCAGAATCTACTACCTTCACCTTACAGGCAAATCTGATCACTTACCTAATGCCAGCTAAGAAGCAGTGGAGCTGTATTCGAACCAGAGCCCAAACTTCTAACCACTATCCTACACAGCCTAATTAAGGAGGTCCCTGAATTCTATCAGGCTATCACATAAAACTTTAAGAGAAAAAGCCAGCCAGACAGCCCAGGATATTATATAGTTTTTAAAAAGAAAATTTTAAGAGAAGTTCATGCAACTTATACAGCAAGGAGGCAGAGTTGAAAAGAAAGTCATATAGATATTGCGAAAGGGATAGGAACTGCTCAAAAGGAAAGAACAATTGGGATGAGGGAAATGAGAAAAGAAACAAGTACACACACACATAAGATAGCTAAGACAATTGTCCTACTAATTTCTATTGGTTTAGTGAAAGGAACAGTTGATCTTCAATTGTCTGATTAATCTTACATGCCTATATCATGATATCTGAGTAATAACTTTAAAGATAACAATATGTAATACAACAGCCATTGTTAATTTCCTATCACCTTGTTTTGAAATTCTGGTTTTATTGTTTATATGTTGTTTTGTTTATGTCTTTGTTTTTGCTATTCTGTTTTTGTTTTTTTCTCTTTAAAGTTAAAAAAAAAAAACCTAGGGAAAGAGATGGCAACTGTGCAAGCACACACTGGATAGGCCTTCCCCTGGCTCTCCCTCATTGTAACTGGCAGTTATGGTGCTGACATCTTCAGTGCACATGGGGGTGACCCAACAGGTAAGCTGGTTTGCATTAAAGCCTTCACTTTTAAGTAACACAAATATTGACTAAATTTAAATTAGCAAATATAATGGCTATCATAAAAATGTACTTATACACAAGTAATTCAATTTTTATTTTATTGCTTACATATGATTGCAAAATGAATTTTTAACATTTAAAACTTACTTCAGTACATTTAACACATGTATCAGCATGAATAAGACAAATGAGTTCCATTTCTAGACAGAAAGACAAGAAACATTTTGGGGAATAGGAAGTTAATTGCTGGTAATCTGTGGTATTATTCTAAAGGATAATGAGTTCAGAAATACTAAGAATGTATGTGCACTCGTGTGTGTGTGTGCATTTGTTCAGATAAATTCCAATCAAACTCTACATATGAAGCCACAGATAATACACGCATATGAGAACATTTAAATGTCGACTATTCAATGTCACACAAAAGAAAAATGATATAAGCTAACTATACAGAGCAAAAAGAGGATGATTAACTATTTATTAATGAGTTTTATATATCTACTAAAGTATGGCAATGCAGTGAACGTCAACAAATCCTAACCCTTCTGCATCTGAACTGGCTACAAGACAGCTCTAACACTAACTGTAGGGCCCTACAAACATTGAAGGGTCAGCCAGAGAAAAGACCCATTTCCTGGGAATCCTTGTTAATAGGACCTGTTCATCTACTGGACTTAGAATAAGTCTATTGTGATTTAAAAATAACAACTCCTACCCAACAAAACCCAAATTAACAGTTTCCAAAGATCAAGTGAAAGGTATGATAAACATTAATTGCAATAGTTTTCCTTTACATGTAATGCATGCATTTTTAAATTCACCAAGAAACAAATTTTTGTAAAGTTTGTATTTTGCATGAATGCAAATTAATGTATATAATTTCTACTATTAAACTATATATCTTTTCATACAAAAGCACACAGTGTTAATTTATAAAATGACATCCAAGTGGATGATGATTGTTATTCGCATGTCCCCCTGCTTAGATTTTAAATGTACGGTTAAAAATTAATACATTTCTTTGAAAATACAGAAGAAAAAAAGCCAAAAAAGAAAAAAAACACAACTTGGCTTATTAACTAGTGACATATTTTACCTGGTAAGAGGGAAAGTTACAGTGACAACCACAACAGACTCTTTTGGTCCTGCAGTTGTGACTGTACTGACTGTACTGTCAATCTGAAAACAAGCTCTGGTTTACCTATTTAATCAACAGCTCAGGGTATTTTAGCATCATTTTATAGGGTTAAGTGTTTAGACTCTTTTTTAATATTTGTACTTTGGCTTAAATATACCTAAGCATTTTTTAGTATGCTTCTTTTCCTATCATTTCCTGTTTTTATTTCTACTAAAGGGGCCCCCAAAACTACAAATACAAAGTTAAAGGATCCCATTCTTTGCTGCAATTTTCCAAAGAAAAACAAAAGCCACTGAACTGCTTTTTGAGTTACAATTTTATATATGGTTTACATTAAAAAAAGAAAAGGTATCTGACAAGTGATTTTATAAAAATGTCCTAAGAGAATTTTCTATGAATGCAAAGAAACGTCTTTATTACTATGTGATGGAATTCACTAAAATGCATGAATGCGGAGTGCCCCAGTGACCTCAGAAGCTGAAATCAAAAGTAGCTTACACTGACAGACCTTACTTAGCATACTGGGTAAAACACAGGCACTCTTTCCAAATGTAATGCTAATAATCCTAAACAGAAGATATATACAAGGCTTGGTTCAAATCTTGCACATTAAAATCCATTTGGGGAATTTTTTGACTACAAAGATTGAAAACAATGCAGAATACAAAAATGTAAATTAATTTGCTCTTAATAGAAATTGAAATGTAAAGACTCCTCACAGGTGAACTAGTAGCTGTCTTACATGTCATTTTTTTCTATACTAAATATATATATTTAATTTAATTAATGGAGCCACAGCAAAATATTACTATCATGTAAACTAATACATCTTCTGATGTAAAAATATTGCACAGTTCAGTACTCCAAAAGTAAGCGCTAAGCTTCTCAAGTGGTTAAACTCTCAGCAGAAAACACAGTATTACAAGAACTAGATGCTTTACAGTATGCCCATTTTAAAAGTCATAGTGTAGGAATACCACTCAACAGATGTTGTATTACTGTAAACACGGTAAGAAATGCCTACTACTCAGTGTTATAGTAGATGACTGGAAAGATGCCTACCACAACTTATCTAAAGAGTAGGGACTGAAAGCCATGTGACTGTTTTGCAAGAGGATTAGGAATATATTTACTTTTGCAGATAACCAAAACCGAAAGCAATTCTATTTCTAAGCAGTTGTGTAGGTAGTCAAGAAACACAGTAGACGCTTCATACATTTTCAATTTTTAAAAAAATTACCTTCGTGAAAAGTTTAAAATATACTGTGGAACAATGGAGGAATATATGATTAATGTGTGTTCAACTTTAAAAGCCAAATGGAACCTCAAAACAAATTAACATGGCATAATCTATCTTCAAAAGCACTAAGCCATATACAGTTCCTAAACTTCTAATATAGTATGTCTACCACTTGTTTAAAAGCAACTTCCATCATCATATTCAAAAAAATATGTTAATATGCATTAAGTAAACCCTGAAAATTCAGCATGGCCTTAACTTTTAGGCTTTACAGTTCTATGCTGAGGTCTTCATGAACAACTTAGTACACACACAGATCTGGAAACTTCATCTCATAGACTGGGACGGACTGGTACTGAGCATGCCCAGAAGTAATGGTCAGTGTTCCTGATGGACTGGGAGGAGGACTGTAAAGAAGAAATGACATAGTTAACAGGCATATTTAAAAGCTGTTCACTTCACAGAGTATTTTAGCTGCTATGTGCAAAGAAAGATTCCTTAACTGCAATAAAGGCACTAGCCAGCTATAAGGCTGTATGGGGAATAGAACACAGCAGTAGCATGATGTTTTTAAGCCTAAAACAGGTATTACCCTCTGGAATACATAATTTTTTATAATGGGACGACACTGTGCATTTTTAAGAGCTACTTTGCTCCATAAGCAAAACATCTCTCATCCATACATGTATTGTCCTCTTCAATAACAACACAGTATTTCATCAATCTCATCACAGCATATGTCATTTATTCCACTGGACAAATGCAAATTCTCTAAAAGCTCACTTAGACTGATTGACAATACTCAAATTTTCTATATCATTTCTGAAGTTTTGTTTTCTTGTGGTTTTATTAATGTTTTAATAATCTTATGAAAGAAATGTTAAAATTTGTATTTCATTACAATAAATAAAAACAAGAAACAATAACAAGCAGCAGCTAAACTCATGTTTCTCTACTAAAACCTATCTTTTTCTTTAAGCTCTTCAACACGTATGTGTTGTTTTAAGGACCTTGTTACAAGTTCCAGTGACTTGGTCACCTGGGACGCTGCTCAGTCTCACTGTATTTAATTTACTGCTTCTTTGCATTTTGTATCTTTTTCCCCTGCACCCAGGTCACGGTGAATGGAAGAACAGTGGGGACTGAAGTTTAATACTGTTTGGCTTCTTTTTTGGAGAGTACAACTCCTTCTTCGTGCTGCTGAAGGTTAGGCAAACTAAAAAGAGAAACTGTACCAGATAGGACTGAAAACTCTAAAGGCACAATATAGTTTAGTTTCTCTCTATCATGTAAGTGATCCCAGAACTACTACTTCCGAAGTGACATTGGGTAAGTTACTTAACTTCTATGAGCCTATTTTTACATTGGTAAAAATTAGAATAATCACTATTTTTAGGTCTACAACTACTATTAAATGAGTTAGCATAGGATCTGGAATATTGTTAAGCAGTCAATAAATGTTAACCTACTACTAGCAAGTGTTTAAAATACTAAGAAACAGTAATTGTAGTACCAAGAAAACAAAACTAGCCACAATACCTATCCTAAGATATTAAATTCATATAATTACTATATCAGTGTGATTTAATGTCATGATCATTCCTAGCAGCACTCTTCTTAAGAACATGACTATGGATTTAAATCCTGACTTTGTGACTCACTAAATCACTTTACTGCTCTAGACCTGTCTCTCTTCACCTGGAAGAAGAAAAAGGGCCTATTCAGGGCTCTTAGCAGAAGTGATAGATATAAAGCATGCAGCATAAGAACAGTACACAAGGGAAATGTGCACCACAACTGAGGGGTATCAAAGAAGCAGATCCCCCTCACCTCAGTAATTTTCTCTGGAAATTGAGCTCATGGAGTATTGCATATTTTAGAACAAATCTCTGTTCTAAAATTCTGTAAATGAGTGATTCACTACTTAGAAGGGGTGGTAGGAATGGTAGGGAAGTGCTTAGAGTAAGATGTGGTGCTGATGAAGATATACCTTGGATATAAAAACAGAAAACAACCTGAGATTAAAAAAAAAAAAATCAAATGGACTAGAGTTCAGTGATGGCAAACTTTTAGAGACGAGTGCCCAAAATGCAACCCCAAAACCACTTATTATTGCCAAGTACCACAACTGCAATTAAACCTGAACACTGAGGTTTCAGTTTAGAAAAAAACAACCCATGCATTAACATCTTCTATCTTAAAAGCACACGTGTGCCATAGGTTTGCCACCACTAGACTATTTACCAGTCTCTTCCATTTACAAGATACAGGTTGAAGCAAAATAGACTTGATTAATCAAGTTAAAAGTATAAAAGATACAACTGATGTAGAAAAAATTCCAGAAGCACAGCTATGTGTGGCTCCTTTCTTGAGCCACTTTGCATAAAGGCTGATTTCACACTGAAGTCAGTGTAAGAGCAGGTAGAGGTTCTTTCTTTGTAGAAGTCCTTACAGCACCATCATGAATAAATAAGTGATCTAAAAGAAGCAGCTAGGAAAGCTAGAAGACAAACAGACAAGAACTAGTAGTTGTAGTACCAAGAAAACAGTTATCCAAAGGTATTAGACTTCATCTAGTACACAGAAGACTAAGATAAAAGGTCAAGTATATAGTCCTGTTTATCCTCAGTGAAAAGGACAATTACTTAAAACACAACCACTCAAAAACTGTCATCAGTCTGTTTCTATTTTGATCTTGAGTTACTGCTACTGTAGTGCAAAAAATATCCACAAAACTTACCGTATAGTGAGTTCTAATATTTGAGCAAGTCTATCATGAAGCAAATTTGCCTGCAGAAAAGAAAGCAAATGTTAAAGAGGACTTACTATTTGCCAAATACCCAGTAATACAAATGTAACTTAAAGGGTCATAACCATTAAGCTAACAGTATAGAATGGTTTGAGTTAATCTATCTTATCTACTGGAATTTACTACAAAGTTTCTCCCCTTTTTTTTCCCCTAATCTCACTGCTAAAAACAAACTGACAAAACAGCACAATCACTGAAAAACATTATTAAAAAAAGGATATATCTAGTTTGGAATATATCATTTCCATCAGCTTACATCATATAAAAAGTTAAGTGTCACACAGTTATGCCTCAGGGCTCTCTATTAGCGTACCTAAAGCTTGGACATGACTCACCAATCACCACAAAAGAGTTTGCACACACTACCCCACTCCTGTCACCATCTGCGTACTTACTTTGGATTCACACTGTGCTGCTATTTCTTCAAAAGGTGCTTTCTGGAATTTCTCTATTACAAGACGTCTCTTTTCCTTTTCTTGTTCTTCCATTACATTAGTATCTACATAAGCATTTATAAAGACCCATTAAAAGGAATGCAGAATTGCATAAAATCCTACCAATGGCCATAAGAGCTAATGACCTATAAACCAAAATCAAGGGCAATTTAAAAGGCTACTTTTATAAGAAAAAATGCAGAAGACATAATAACATTCTTAGTGTTTCATTTAAATTAGAAAGACACACATATTTAAAAGAAAAATCTTAAGGTAAGGCGACACAGCAAAAGGTCCTTTTTCCCGGGGTACCTGTGTCTCTCTTACCAAAAAAAGAAAACGGTAACTTACTACAAGTCAAATAACTGTAAGGTCTTTCCTGGGGAATGATTCTTTTATCATCTATTCTTTTATGAACTATGATTTTACACATATAAATACTAAATATTTGCCCAAATGAATCCTGACAATGAATGAAGTAACTGAAATACAAACAGGTTATTTGGATCCATCTTTGGCTTACCATAACTTGAAAAAGGATTTTATTGTTAGCTGATGTATGGTCTGGCTAAGGTTTTGAGATAGTAAAATAACAAATGTTTATCTTTTTGATACCACTGATATTACTGTTTATAGAATACAGATAATTTGAAAAGCTTAAGTAATTATTTAAATAAATGATATATTTATATAGAAAACAAAAGTATTTTAACTTTTTGTCATTCTGCCTTTCTTCTGGCATCTTAAAGAGTATTCAATATAAAAATGAGTTAAATATTAGAGCTAACAAGTGTACAATATCTCACCAATTGCTTTCTTCAGTGCTTCAAAGGTGATTTCTTCCGTGTTACTAACCTAGGGAAAAGTGATTTTAAGTAAAACAGGAGTAAGAAAAGTCAATATAAATAATGCCTCCACCTAATTACAAGTCGTCTAAGAATTTTGCTGTTTTTTGTTTGTTTGTTTTGGTGTTATTTGGGACTATACTCCAAATTTCAAATGTTCATCACTGTGTCACTGTAGTAACAGTGGCCCACTGCAACAGTTCCCCAAACAAGTCTGCAGATTTGCATTCAACTGGCAGAATCAACATTGCCTCACCCTCGAGTTACAGAACTGACTCTATTAACGGGATGCACAAGATCTGAGTCCCACTGAACTGTGCTTCATAAGTGAGTAACGCTTTCAAATAGTCAAGGCTAAGACTATTTCCAAATACATTTTCAGCTTAATGGTAAACAAAAATTAGGTATCCTACATACAGCTTCTGTAATTTTGTTGCTACTGTATATAGAGTTTACAAACCAAAAATAAAATAATCTATGATTTTAAATGGCTTAAAAGAATCACTACTTTGAAAAGTGTTCGATGAAACAGTTTATCAACATCTTAAAATAAGTGTACTCTGGATGTCTAAGGTCAACCTCCAAGATTTTATTATCTGTGAACATTAACTTGGGTTCTCAAATAGCTGAGATATTTACAGTATCTTGAGATATTTACAGTATGAAATGTTATTAAACAATTAGTAGCATGTTTTGTGAAACCAGTGCTTTCTTAGAAGGAATAATATCTCCAGTTATAATATCTCAATAAAAATTAAGAAATGATGGGTAAGTACTTGCCTGGGACTCTGGTCATCCCTAATTTTAGCTCATGAGCTTGTTTCGCTAAGACTAAGACGGCAAGACTAATGAAAGCAAAAGACTTCATGTTCTGCACCTTAGCTTCTCTGTAACACAAAGGCTTTAGCTGGGTGTCAAGCAGCGAGAGTTCCACTACCTCAGTTTTTCTACTGAGGGCTCACATTTATAGTTGAAGTCAGATTAAACTTGGGAATCTTCTGTTGCTTTGTTCTAGGTATCTGGAGCAGACATACAACATTAGGCTCTGGCTGGTTAATTATTTGTACCTAAAAACAGTCTAGTATTTTAATGAAAAACAGCTCCTTATTGTTCTTATGTTTGGCTAAGAAGAGTTTCAGACTTTTAAGAAACAACTACAGAGGAGGAGAAAGAAGATGGGAGAAGTCAGAAGGCCAGCATTCCTGTTACATTAATATTTTCTTCTTAAAATATGCCTAAGTGTTCACCAATAACTGTTGAATAAATGATGCGAATTTCTCTTGTCTATGCTATGAAATTAATTAGTTTTAGTCTAGAAGCGTGTTGGCAAACCTTTTAAGGACAAGTACCCAGACTGCAACCCAAAACCCACTTATTTATCACAAAGCGCTAACACTGCAATTACACCTGAATACTGTGGTTTCAGTTTAGAAAAAACAACTCATACATTAACATCTTTTGTTTTAAAAGAAAATTTGCACGCCATAGGTTCACCATCAGTGGTCTAGAGGGTAACTTTACTCTTTCTTCTGACAGCTGAACACATATTAATAGCACACAAAAGTAGATTCCATAATGGTGAATGAGTCTAAAATTCAAACGTGCTCAAATGAATATGATACTAAATTACACCTTTCAGATGCTCAGTGTGAGACATACCTGACTCAGGACTGAAAATTTCTGAAACATTAAAGGTCTTAATGGAATTTTAATGTGAAGTTCATGTCAAGAACCCTCTCTCTACATTGTTTTCATGCAAATTTTTTTAGTTCATTTTATCAAAACAGACTGCTTCTCTGAAATAGTTACTGTGATTAATATACACTTTTGAAAGAGATAAAAACACTAAAAGAAGAATGGAAGCTGAGCATGGGGGCATACACCTATAATCCCAGCACTTGGGAGGCTGAGGCAGGAGAATCTCGTGAGTTCAAGGCCAACCTGAACTGCATGAGAACCTGTCTAAAAAAAAAGAAAAAAAAAAAAGGAAAAAAATACACTGCACTTTTGACAATAGTCAGTCTGCAAAGTAAGGCTCTGAATAAATTTCTTCCTTCAAAAAGTAATGGTAGGGGGCTGGGGATTTAGCTCAGCGGCAAAAGCACCTGCCTGGCAAGCGCAAGGTCGTGAGTTCGGTTCCCGGTACCGGAGAAAAACCAAAAAAAAAAAAAAAAAAAAAAAAGTAATGGTAGTCCGGGGAGACAGCTCAGTGGCATAAGCGCCTGCCTGGCAAGCGTGAAGTCCTGAGTTTCATTCCCAGTACCAATAAAAAAAAAAAAAAAAAAGGTAATAGTAGCAAATTTATAATCTTAAAAGAATGAGATATTCCCCTTATTAGTAAGGAATCATGTAATTAAAATGGCTTCAAAGAAACAGATTAATTTAGGGAGTATTTTTTATCTCAAGCTTAAATATGTAAGAATCTTTAAACTAGCCTTAATACCGTAAGTTTCAAAATAAACACGAACTGCCTCTTCAACTACTCTTCATGGTCTACTAATAATTTCTTAACATAATTGATTATACAATAGGAAGTTGACAATACAAGCTAGTTGGCAATTCCCTGATTACAAATAATTTTAATTCCTGAAAACAAAAGAACTGATGAGGATTGAAAGGTGCAGGGAGGAGTAAAGGAGGCTGAGAAAGCATCAATTCAGACAATTTCCCTTCTCTTTCCTTGTAGGGATATCCTTCAGTTGTTTATGCTTGCACCAATGAGAAATAATGTTACATCTAGGAAGGCAAACAATGGGTAAAGCAACCAAAGGGGGCTCATTTAATTGGTTGGCACTTCAGGTTTCAAAACAGTGGCTACCAGAAATTACCTATCAAAAAATCCTTTGGTGATCTGTGCGAAATAAGTCCTACAGAATACCGACTACTTTTTTCCCCCGTAACTTCAGAGGGTACACTCTTGCACTCTACTGAAACCGGAAGACAGCACTAAATCTATGAAGCTTCAAATAGCCACAGTGCTGAAACAGTGTGTAACTCACTGATATGCCACCCCAAGTGATTTTTCCTTCTAAGTAAGATTTTGAAGTTTCCTAAAAGTAGTGAGCAGCCGGATTATTCCATTTGTTTCTGCAATTTATATTTCATAAATTAAAAAAAAACAAAACAGGCTCTAGATAGCTCAATCCTTCACTTAATTCTATCATATAGTTTCTTTTATTATAATGAATTACAGTGCAAAATATAATACAACATAATGTTAATTTGATAAAGCTTTACAGATAGCTGGAATGAGCTCACAAAAATAAATCATAAGTAAACAGGTTAAATGAGAAAAATTTCTACCAATATTTTAGTTGTTTGGGGGACAATTTAAAGTTTCTCTCATTTGGAAGTGTGGAGGTCAAAAATTTATCTTCATGTCTATCTCAAGACAGTGCTCCACCATAAACTCCCAGCAACTTACCACATCATCAGAAGGAACACTGTTGGGTAAAATATCCACTTGAATCGATACGGTGTCCACAATACTTTTTCTCCTAGAAAGGCGATCTTCATCTAAAATGTAAACATTTCCCCATTCTTTATTAGAAATGTTACACTTATGAACCCTACTTCCAAGAGATCTCAAAAAATTAAGACATTTGCCTTTTTTGATCTTTCAAAATATACAGGCATATTAAACAATGCACTGTTGGGCTTTTAAAAGAAATTTTACTTTCAAGAAATAATTTTATATACTACGGAGTACAATGTGTTGTTTTAATATATGCATAATTTGTGGAATGATCACACTGGGCTAATTAACATACCTAGTACCTCAAGTACCTACCATGTTTCAGGTAAGAATATTTAAACTCCTATTTTTTATTTATGTTGAAATAGTAATTATTACTATGGCCAGCATGCTATGCAACAGAACACAACTTATTTCTATCTAACTGAACTTCTTACACAAGTTGACCAACTCTTCTCCTTTGCCTGTTCACTCCTGCTCCTCTCCCAGGCTCTGCTAACCACCATTTTACCCTTTCTTTCTGTTATGGTTTGTGTCTAGATGTACTTCGAAAGCCTCACGCAGTCATAGGTGGGGCTTTTGCAGAGGCAGCTGAATCTAGGGTATGAGATGGGGTTAAGAGTGTGTGATTACTAAATCAGTCCAGTGACTGGTTTGGTACCACCCTATCCTGGTAGTCTGGATAAGATAAAAAGGACAGGAATGGGCCTGTCTTCCCCTTGTTCCCTTGATGCTTTTACTATCTTGTGGGTGCTAGGAACCATTTCTCCCTTGTGATGCCTGTTTGCCAAGCCACCCAGCCTTGGAGCCAGCCAACTATGGACGGGCACCTCTACAAACTGTGAACCAGAATAAATCTTTCCTCCTTTTTAATTTTGGGTGTCAGATATTTTGTCTCAGCAATGAGAAAAGTAGCAAAGACACCTTCTATCATATCAGTGTTTGCAGTGAGATCATATGGTATTTGCCTTTCTAGTTTATGACCCTTAACATATTGTCCTACAGGTTCACTCATTGTGTCACAAATGCCAGAATTTCTTTGATTTCTTTTTTAAAGTTCTGAATGGTAGTTGTTTGTGCATATATACCACATTTTTAAAACTCGTGAATCTGTTGACAGACTGACCCTTAGGCTGTTTCCATAGCCTGGCTATTGTAATGCTGCAGGGAACTTTGAGGATGTAGACATCTCTGGCGTGGTACAGACCCAGAAGTGGAATAGGTGGATGATATGGTAATTTTACTTACAGTTTTTTTTTTTGAGAAATCACCATCAAAATGGCTGTAATAATTTACAGTTATCATCAACAGTGCAAAACAACAATGTATAACTGCTCCCTTTTTGGCATAGCCTCAGTGCTCGATAGCTTTTATCTTTTTGATACTAGCCAATTTAAGAGGTGTGAAGTAATATCTCACTGCGATTTTTATTTGCTTTTCTTTGATGATTTAGAAATTTCACAATTTTTTTTTCATAGTTTTTTAATCATTAGTATGTCTTCTTTTGAGAAATGTCACATTCTCTGCCCATTTTTAATTTGGTTATTTGTTATTGTAAAGCAGTTTGAGTTCCCTGTGTTATTTTTTGACATGAGATCCTTATCTAATGTAATCTTGGCAATGTTCTCCAAGTTTTAAATTTTATGAAGCATAAAAAAATAAAATGGTTAACCACTTTTTAATTTTTAAGAAGTAGCATTTAAGATCACCAACATCAGTAACTACCACCTAATAGTTTAATAAAATGCAAACCAAAAGTAAACATAACACGAAAAGAAAGAAGCATATAGTTGCAGTTGAACACATTTGGTCTAAATAAAAAAAAAAAATCATAATACTGCTTTCATAGCTCTTATTTTTCCACAAACAATGAAAGCTATCAACTAACTTTCATTCTGTGGTAGTAGTTTGGAAACCAACGAGCAAGCCAGTGTTTACAATGATTTAAAATTTGTGGACTGAATAATTGGTTGATTTAATTAATATTTCTTCTACCATTTCCAATTGCTCATGGCCATTTGTATTTGTTCTTTTGCTTTATAACACTATCACGCTGTAAAAACATTCTTGTTCTACCTCAATGCTCTGGCTAACCTACTTTTGCAAAGTTGTTGGCAATAATTTGAACCAACTGCTCTGATTTTTCACTATTAAATTCTCCAAAGTCCTGCAATTATAATTTCATCCCCAATGGCTCTTCTGTCTTTTAAAATATTCAATTCTATAGCTATTCCTACCCATTTTCTGATTAACTACTTCACAGAAATTTGAATTTATTGATTCAAATCTCATTCCTTGTGTTCTTTTCTACTTTTACTTTTCTACTTTAGCATTCAATATTCAACAAATCTACTAGTGACTGGAAAGCAAGCTGGAGACATAGTCTACATCCTCACAGAGCTTACAGTCTAACAGGAAGTGGAAAAATCACAAAACTACATAAAGAATAAAGTGGACAAGTACAGGATGTTAGAAAAACACTTAACAATCACAGTTACATTTTAAAAAGCTACTTTGCATATTCCAATGCACAGAATTAGAGGCTTATTCAACCCTGTAGAGCTGAGGGAGCAAAACCGAGGAGCGTGGTCATTTTCAGCCTGCAGCACGGAGAGGGTAATTCTCAAAAAGCATTCAAGGAACCTTCAAGTCTAGTCTCCGTCCACTGGGATGCTCACACTAGCCTTTGAAAGATAATACTCCTTCTCCTCCTCCTCTTCTACAAATAGTGCTTTTACCTATCAACATCTAACTCAGATCTATGGGGGAGAGGACTCTGCAAAGACGACGTTCCTCTGTGAGGCAGACAAGAACTTAGAAGAGGTCATGATGCCAACTTGGCTCCTGCTCTCACGGGCTATCAGTTCACCTTCTGGGAAAATCCATCAAAACTCAGCTTTCTTGAAGCTTACCAATTTGTGACAAGTCAGCTTTCCCTTTTCTCAAAGCTTTCTGAAGCTTCTTTTTTTTTGCCTGTTTTCCCATATCCCAATCTCCCATGCATCCATGTTATAGCATTACTTCATTATCTTACAGAATGAATCATTATCTTTCAGAATAAATTACTTTGCTCTTTTACATTCTGAGCCTTTTGAGTTCTTGGTTTTTAAGTTCTTTCTTAATATTATCTCCCTAAGCAAAGGAGAATTCTGTGAAGGTATTCTATACTTTTTGTCTCAGTCTTTGTTTGGAGTGCTTACCTTCCCTGAAGGCTTTAGCCAAATCCCCTATCCCATTCACTTCAAAGTTTTCTTTCTGTCCTCTTAACACACATGAAACCCAGCCATAATGCTCAACTGTCTAGACAGGAATGTGTTCAGATGTCCACTATCAAAGATACTCAGCAAAAGTTTTATTTCCAGAACTAGCCGCTCTTTCCTGTTTGTTCCTGTTAATAAAAATTCCATCCTCTATGATTCCAGAGTCAAAACTACTATGCACTGTTACAGCTGAAATGTACACGTATCTCCTTCCTTACTTAAAACCAGTCACATCTCTCACATCTCCTCAAAACAAAAACAGGTAAATGAAGTAGCAAGTAAACCCTACTCTTCCTCTCAGTTTTGCACTAACTGTCCACATCAGAAACCTAAACAAAAATCTCCCTTCTTCTAGTCCCTACACACCAATCAAATGCCTGTCACTTTTTCTTGTCCATTTTTCTATAATCTACCCAGTTTTTTTTCTGTATTCTCAGGCATCTCCTTCATACAAGCCACTGTCATTTCTCCTGGGGCTACACTACGGCATCTGAATGGTCACACCATCCCCAGTTTGCTAAACTGTAAGCACAATAATGTTTCTAAAATGCAACTCTGATCATGTTATCCTCTGATTAAAATCATTTCATGATTTCCCATTGCTCAAAGTTCCAATCACTTATGACTTTATATTATCTGAACTAGTGTTCGTGCTCACCTCGTGCTCACCATTCCTTCGTGAATGTTGTTACTTCTACACGAAATGAAAATCATTTGCCTAATATATGCTTCAGACTCAACTTTGGAACTTTTTCCTCTGGCAGACACCTCCGGCCCATCAAAGCAGAACAGTCTCCTGGGTGCTACCTGAGGACTCTAAACTTGCAATTGCTTTGATATTTGTCTTTTTAGAGATTTCAAGCTATAGAATGAAAGGAATTTCTTTCCTATGCATCTTAAAAAATAGTGGCAAAGTGTTATCTTGGGAGAACAGTAAAGAGTCATTATAATCATCTTTTGTGTTTTGTGGCGCAGATAAACCCTGTTGAGAAAGATAGTATCTTCACACTGCTTGGTGAAAATCAAGGCCTCTAGTTGTCTCACTCTTTCTGCCTCTGCACAGCGGCAGGTCTACTGAAGGTAGCCACTGAATACCTAAGTAATCCTGTATGTTTACCCCTAGCTACTCGTACTTCAAAATGATCCAGAAGACAGGTGCTATTGTACTTTTCTCAGAAAGTGCATTTAGTATCTACCTAGCCATAACACTTTTAGTGCATACCTAGGCATCACACCATGTATTATAGCTCAGGTACTAGAGCTCAATAAACTTTATTGCAGATCATTATTCTTTCTCTAGAACCAGTTATCAAGGTGTTTTAGTCACTCACCTGGCTGCCCCACTGGATTTTAGAGACTTCATCATACCATCTTTCTACTATCCCCTAAAGTCACAACAGTGTCTGGTTTATAGTAGACATTCAGTTAAAGTTTTTGAAATAAACGAAAAAAATCAATTTGGATCATTACGAATTCCTGAATAACCTTTGGGATCATGAGAAGCTGTTAGCAAAATCAAATAATTTGTTAAGAACCTAAGTTTAAATCTACTATGTCATCAAACTATTTACTATTAGTTTCATTAACCTTGTGTAAACACAGGTAATATAACTCTTCCCTGAACTGCTACAAGGATGAAACAAGAAAGTGAACTCCAAGCACTTTTCCCCATCCTAGCACATGGTACACGATAAACAGCAGCAGCTACTACAACAAGGGGTGGTACATGACACACAACAAACTAAATATGTTTTGTTTTCACTTATGTTATACTGTTCTTTTTTTTTTTTGGTTTTTCTCTGGTACCGGGAACCAAACTCACAACCTTGCGCTTGCCAGGCAGGCGGCTTTGCCACTGAGCTAAATCCCCAGCCCCTGTTATACTGTTCTTAAGTCTCTTGAATTTTTTAAATAGCTACTACAAAAGGAAGTTTAGCAAATTATTGACTGTCTCATAAAATATCACTGTTTTTTCTGACTCCTGCATGATGGTTAATATACAACTACCACAGACTAGCTCAAAATTAGTGTTTATAAATCAAAACTGTATTATTCACACTTAGGAATTTCTATGCACTCATACGTTTAAGTACATTCTGAACCGCTCAGAATTATTTCCAGTGTATGACTGTTCCATTACATCAGAAAAGGACATCTGTTTTAGGGTACCAAGGAAGTGAGAAAGAGCTAATCACCTACTGAAAGAACTAGAACTTTCATCAAAAACTAAACTAACAGAACAGGGTAAAAGAAAAGAGCAGAACAATGAAAATAAACTATGGCTTTAGGGAAGGCAGAGCAAATAACTTACAAGTAAATAAAATATGCAAGCCACTAGCTCCATTTAAAAAGGCACATTTGATGAAGCTATTTTCCTAGAGGAGAGACAAGGGAAGGACAGGCCACACTAACAGCTGGATTTACCTTTGTACTTGTGCTTGGGTTTATGAGTTTTTTTGCCTGAAGGAAAAAGACCTAAATCCAAATTATAAGAAAATAACACTTTTAAAGTCTTTTTAAAAAAATACTTAAAATTATAAAACTCTACTTTTATTTCATTCTTAGCATTTTTATTTCCCCAAGGAATTCATGAGGTACAGAATCTTTCATAGTACGAAATTTGAAAAAAAAAAATGAAAGAGCATTCATTAACATCTCAGGCTATTATAGCTATCATTGTAAGAAATTTCTTTCTTTCTTTCTTTCTTTATTTATTTTAGAAATGTATTTATTTTGAATCCACACTCTAAAAAAGATATTTACGAAGACTGTACTACTTTCAGTGGTTAATGTAGAAAATTACCTAACTTCAATCAAACAGTTCTCCTACAGGAGTATCACCCAGGAAGAACTGGATCTTCCATCAAATTTAATAGTCATGTAACCATCAACTAAAAATGAGAGTATAAGAAGCTCTTTGATTTTAATTTTTAAAGTAAAAATCAAATGAAAGTTATGCATTTTCCCTTCAAACACAACAGTTATTTCAGGTAATGGAAAGAGCAAGAAATGTATATAGTTCACAAAGGAAGAAAAAAATTCTGGGGCTGGGGATTTAGCTCAGCGGCACAGCACCTGCCTGGCAACAGCAAGGTCGTGAGTTTGATTCCCGATACCAGAAAAAAAAAAAAAAAAAAATTCTAACATGAAACGTTTGGAGAGCCAGGCATGGTGTCACACACCTTAATCCCAGCATGCTGGGAGGCTGAGGTGGGAGTACTGCAAGTTTGAGGCCAGCCTGGAATATAGTGAGATTTTTATCTCAAAAAACAAAACAAAGCAAACAAAACACCAAGCCAAAACAAAAGTTGGCAGGGTTCTTCACACAGAAGTCTGTAGCTTTTTTTCTTTTAGTCTGTACTCATTCAAATGATGTTTCCTAATTCACCAAATTCAATCACAAGTCACTTATTAAACAATTCTGTAAGTGGCATATAATATTGTTTAATGACTATTTGCTTCTTTGTTTAAAGGATATTAGGCATAACTATACATTAAATATATTAAAAATAAGTTATATATGAACGTAATATATTAATAACAAACTCATGAGTATTTGACTTACTTATGGTAAATTAGTTATCTGCTTTAGAGATCTACCAAAGGTTTTAAAAAGCAGTCGAAAAATGGCTCTGCTACAGTAAGTGTACACACCAAGAACTGACTTTTATTACTGGTCACATAAAGAAAAAGAAACATACTCATGAATGTAAGAGCTGCAATGTTCTTACTCTTACCTGTCACTTGTGGTACATATGGAACTGATAATCTCTCAATGCCATATCCACTTCCTCCAAGTGACTCTGCAATCTTGTTGGTCAGAAAGTACAGATTTTTGTCATGCTTCTCTAAAGATTTTGGAAGCCTGTCAGGTTGATCAAAACAATAATCATTTGATGTTAGCTCCCAAGCAAAAAGAAATGGATTTTAAAAAATTCATTCCAGGGCCGGGGATATAGCTCAGCGGCACAAGCGCCTGACCGCCAGGTATAAGGTCCTGAGTTTGACTCCTGGTAGAAAAAAAAAAATTCATTCTGGAGCAAAAGGCTCCATGTTATAAATACAAATTAAACTGAAATTAATAATAGAAAAATTAGGGTCTTAGGTGACTATCTCAGCTCTTAAAACACTAAGGTATATGGCCCCACATATTAACCATGTTGCTCCAATTCTCCTCCCAGTAATGTTCCGATAGTGAATTCAACTACAACAGCTCTTCTGATATTTGATTACATGATGAAGACCATTAAATTTCATTTTCAATCTAATTAAAAATCTAAGAGGAAAAAATAAAAAAGCAGTTGGTGATCACTGATAGTCAATGCAAGTATCACCGGTCCGCTAACTGAGGGCGGGAAAGCACTTGCCCAACATGGGAGGCTCCGCTTTCCTTTCACAGCGCTCATAGCACCCCCTGCTGACGCCTTTATCACTAACCTCCCATGAGCGCTCAAAGTCTGAATCAAGTACTTTTTTCTTTACAAAGTAAGGAGAATGTAAGGTACAGCCCATTGATTTTTCTTAACAGTCTTTGTCCCATAATTTTATTAGAGTTGCTATCTATAACTGAGGTCTTCAATAAACTACACATGAATACATTAAAAACATTATAATTAAGAGATATATCTCCAAATTCTAAAAAGTAGCATAAATCATTTTTTCATTTTTTTTCCAAAACTGGCCCCATGTATGTATGATTCTACATTTATATGCAGAAATTTTTACAGCAAGGGAAAAAGTGAGATGAATTAAATGACAAAAACAAAAAGAAATGTCATTTTAAGGTACCAAAAAACTACGAGAACAGTAGTTTACTCTTTTATAATTACTGACTGACATCTCTTGTCAGCCCTTAATAAGTTATGAATTAACATACATGCACTTATCTCTGAAAATATGTTCTGGTAGAAAATAAGGAGCTTCCATAGTTCGAATTTCAATAACCTGAAACACAGCCAAAAACAAAACAAAATAAAAATAAAAGCTTCACCTTAGTATCTTGTATAAGTTTTTTAAAAGCTAAAATACAAAAATATCTTTAAACATTCATATGAAATAACATCATTTTGGAATTCAAGCTAAGTTTCAAGTTCAGACATATGAATTATTTTGTTTTCATATTATTCTAAAAGTCCAGCAGATAAAATCATAATCAAATGATATCTAGAATAAGAAAATGTATGAACACATATGCTTAATCTACCCTAAAGAAAGAACATGTATTTCTCAAAAAAAATACTTTAGAATTCCTTTTAGGAATCACCTGCTCACCTGTGCACCCAACCCTTCAAAGCCTGAATACAAGGTCTTTAGCATGTGTGAGGCGTGGCTCCTTCATGAACCTATGACTAGCTTACAGGGGTGCTCTGCTTTTATACTGTCTGTATCTCTAATGGCAGGCATCAAATATTCACTCAAATGCTCACTTAATGAATGAGTTTTATTTATTAGAATACACTAAAACCTACCTTTTACTAAGTACTGAGATATATGCATTCAATTTCATTAAAGGAACAAATGTCTGACCAATGTTTTTAAAAGTAACCTTTTCTGCAGTGTTAGTTAGGGGCTCCAAAAGACAGTAATACATTCTGCGTCTTAGAGTTACTGCTGAAAACAGGTAAATACTGTTGAAAGACAGGCAACAATATTTGAGATCTGCCTCAAGTACACTAGGATAAAATAATAACAGCAACAACAAGAAAACAGGGGGCTAGGGATTTAGCTCAGTGGCTCAGCGATGTAGCATCTGCCTGGCAAGCACAAGGTCATGAGTTCGATTCCCAGTACCAGAAGAAAAAAACAAAAACAAAAAACAAAAAAATAGTATAAATTAAGAAAATTTAGATATTGAAATTCATAATGGGTCAAAGGAAAAAGGTAAGAAAGAAATCACAAGATATTGTAAAAGAAAACCACATATTTTATTTAATACTACAAAAGTATTAGCTATAGTTTTAGTTGTAGCCTCAGTTTAAGAATTATCTTAGTAATCTGATACATAATCATCAAAATTAAAAACAATCATCACTAAAAGAAAACTAGCCATTTACATATAAAATTCAAGTATGAAGACTTTCTAAACGCATTACCTTGCTAACATGCTGGCAAAATGCAGGAACAGCGATCATCTGACTTACAAAGTTGAGATAGGCTGCAACCAGTGCCATGATTCCACAGCGATGGAACATTGGCAGATTATCCTCGTTGATAACTGCACTGTCCTGCAATTAAAAATAAACACATCTAGGGGCCAGGGATACAGCTCAGCAGCACAAGCGCCTGCCTGGCAAGCACAAGGTCTTGAGTTCAATTCCCGGTAGAAAAAAAAAACAACACACACACACACACATCTGACATCAAGTTCTTACGCTCCATCAACATTTTCTTTATAGCTACACTGGCAAACTGCAGGTAGTTTGTAATGCCAACAAAACATCACCTTACCAGAAGGTATTTTTTTAAAAGATGCTAAAACAATAAACACTCATCTATCAGAGTTAAAGTTCTCAAATTAAATATGCCTTTGTTTCAGGAAAGCCTTTCTTGTTCATATATTCATATATAAGATACAAAATACCTTTTAGACACACAGAAAGCACATGTACTCCAATGAATACTGTCCTTTTATTATGCCAGTTAAACAAATGTTATATATGTTTATTGCTTAATGACTATCTCCCCCACTAGATGGAAAGTAGGGTACAGGAGCTATGTTTACCTTTTCCATCATAGTACAACTTAGAATAGTGTGTACATGGTCATTGTTCATTTGTTAAAAGAAGGAATATGGCACAATCTCAAACACTGCATAACTAGATACCTGTCTAACCAGAATTCATGTCCTTCAATAGAAGCAACTATCTGCTTCATAAAAAGTTTTCTTCAATGAAACATTATAAGAGCATACCTGTAAAGCAATGGCCAATCGAATGAGATCAATAACCACTTCTTCGTTGGCCAGTTCAATAGTTATAAGAGCAAGAGAAGTATAAAGTAGCTCATAGTTTTTCTGAACATTGTCTTCCTCTTTGCAACCCAAATATATGTGCCGGTAGAGCTGTTGTCCATTCTGAAAAGACCAGAAAAAGATAATTTTGTTTGAAATGTAATAAAGGCAGACTTCACAATATAATCTTCTACAAAGTAGCTATCTTATTTCATACTTAACATGAAAGTAAAAGCAAAGGTGCTAAGAGTCAAACTGTATTTCAATTATTAATATCAACAGATATGCTAGTATACAAAATGACAGAGTTGAAAATTTTTGGAGATAAAAGCAGAAAGTAAAAAACAGTTCCCATGTACATAATACAAATGTTTTTATTAATAATTTGAAAAATAAAACAAATTAGGGATTAAAAAAAATAAAATGGATGGCAAAATTCTGGAAGATTTTGCAACACAGCCTTGGCAATGATAAAGCACCTGTTGCTAAGGGGCAAAGTACATGGATTTCTTGTTTTGGGAACCATCCTGTACTGTGGGTTAGGAGCTGTCTAGGGAGCAGCATTTGTAGGTAGTGCTATACTTTGACAGGCAGTCCCAAAGGTGAATCTGAAGCCTGTTTATAGGAAGAGATCACAGAAACTCTCCAGCAATTGTATGTAAGTTTCTCCCTAATCCAGACCAAAATGTGTTATAAAGGACATAGAAGTCTTTTGTATCTAAAGTATTCATGGATATAGGAATGAGAGCCAACAGAAGTAACAGGGTGTTTCTCATCTCATTAGGTAGTTAATTAGCTCTACTGGGCATGGGTTCTCAGACGTAACTGCCAAGTGAGACTCACTGGGAAATGAAGGTGGCCCCACAATCCTACCTCTCCCTGAGATGATTTGACTGGCTAGTGGCCAAGCATCAGTGTTTAAGTGGTGTAACACCTGCCAGGTGATTGTAGTGTGTGGCTAGTGTTAAGGGCCAGAGGCCACTCATTGCTGCACAGAGGAACTAGCTCCAGGGCTGTTTCTCAGCAGGTTCATCTGACTAATCACTCGGAAGAGCTGGTCATCAACTGCAGACTCTCTGGAGCCAGTGTCCGTGGCAGTCATGCATTCTGCTCTGCTCCCTAACATGTGCTAAGCTCCCATCTTAGTAGCAAGGCCTGTGTTCGCCAGGTGTGACTGTGAGTGACTACTGGTCAAGTCAAACTGTGTGGTAGTGTTTATGAAGCCTTTCTTTGGCTCCTGATATGAAGCTGTGCTCTCCTCTCCCTACTCATTTCCATTCTTTCTGAACTTGCTAATTCTTTTTTTTATTTGTTTGTCCCCCGCACCCCCGCCGTACCAGGAATCAAACTCATGACCTGGCGCTTGCCAGGCAGGCGCTGTGCCGCTGAGCTAAATGCCCAGCCCCTGACATGCACCTTTCTGAATCCACAGTTTGTCTTTCTCTCAGACTGTTCTATACTTGGACAGGGATGAGTCTTATGTATTAGGCTCTCTCAAACCCTAGTAATACTCTTGAATCCTGTGGTTCTTATGTTATTAACAAACCTTAAAATGTGCTTCGGTACATCTGAATTTAGGCTTCAGGTCTCTTAATTCAAATTTATTTTTAAAAATTACCTGCTACATACCTTCCTTATTAGATAAAGATATCTCATATAAGCAGAGAAACAGGAATTATGTATGACATAATACCTGTATAAGCACATTGATAACAGCACTATTTTTTAATATCCCAGCTGAAAACAATTCAAATTCTGTCAACAACTAAAGATAACTTGTGGTATCATATCAATAGTACTATTAAAGTGACACACATGGAAGAAATGTATTGAAACAGAGCTGAATGAAAAATACAAACATGAAAGAATACACAATGATTCTTTCACACTGAAAAACTATTATTTACGGGTCAGACAGTAATTACTTGTGGAGAAAGGATGGAATTTGTAGGATGCTTTGGGTCAAACTATTGTTTAAAATAATTAAAATAATGTCTATATATTTTACATTTCATCATAAAATTCTTTTTGCTCTATATTAACATGAGGTCTTTCACAAAGTGAGGAACTGTATAGTGAGCTGAAGGCAGAATCTCACTTGTTTTTCCTGTAAGTCTGAGTTTCAAGAGATGACAGAGGAAGAGATACCTCTCATCCTGCCCCAGGGACACTTTCTGAACAGATTCACTACCTCAGATGTCTCTAAAACATTCCAATCTTCCCTCAATAAATATATTCTGCTCTTAAAAAAAAAAGGGGGCAACCTACTCAGGCCCCCTTCTGTCCCTCTCTTGGACAGAACCTTTCTTTCCCTCAATAAATATATTCTGCTCTTAAAAAAAACAAAAACAACAAAAAAAAACCACTCCAATGGACCACTTTTAGGCTAGACAGTAATGTGAGAAACAGCTGCCTGAACACACAATGCAGACCCTGAAAATATACTATCCAAGATAAATGCAAGATACTCTTTCAAGGGGAAATCCAGTGTCCTGTGACTACAGAACCCTTTACTGAAAGATCTTTGTAGAGATTTCTATAAGTTGTCAATTAAAGTTTTGCGTGAAAACTAAAAACACTTTTACTAAAAACAAATAAAACAAAGGAAAAATTTGACAATGGAAGAATTAACAAGTTATTTCTAAAGAGAAAGATTCTACTAAGAATAACTCACACTAATTATAACAAAGGCTTAGCCTGGAGTTATTTTAAATTATAAAAGAGGGAGTTATATATACATTTTTTTGTACCAGGAGTTGAACTCACGCTTGCTAGGCAGGCACTGTGCCACTGAGCTATATATCCGCGGCCCTAGAGGGAGCTTTAACTTAGAGAACAATTTAAGGATTCAAAAATCAATATTATTCTTATCTTGCAGCTAATCCACACCCTTTCAGACTAGTTGGCTAGAAAATTACGCACAAAGAAGTAGCATTTCTATCACTGTCAGTTGAATTATCAAAATTCATTATGTTAGTCGTGATTAATAGTTTATATGGAACAACTTCTTTCATGAGCTAGTGTCTTGGTTACTTTTCTCTCGTTGCTGAGACAAAATACCTGACACCCAGAATTAAGGAAGGAAAGGTTTATTCAGCTCACTGTTTGTGGAGGTTTCAGTCCATACTTGGTTGGCTGCAAGGCAGAGTAGCACATGGCAAAAGACAGCAAAAAGCAACAAGAGCAAAAAGGGAAGAGTGGTGGCAAGCAGACTCTTTCTCTCCCTTACATATGCAAACCATCAGCCCCAGGGAAGGTGTAGCACTCATATCCATAATCCCAGCACTGGATCATGGATCAATCATAAACTCCAGAAGCCAGCCCCATGACTACATGAGACTTCGGGGGGACATCCAGACACAAACCATAACAGCTAGGTAACATAAAAAACTAACAAATAAAAAGAAACCTCAGAAGAGTTCAGGTCTTTGCTCTATTTCTAATTTTTAAATATATAGTATATTCAAAGTTATAAAAATTTTATTCAAATAATCAGATTAATATAGGAACAAGGAAATCTTTATTACTGTCTATTTTTCAAACAGAAAGTTTTTAAACTGTGAAAGTGTTACTTTGAAGTATAACAATCAATACTAACAGAGACAGGGCTGGGGATTTAGCTCAGCGGCAAAAGCGCCTGCCTGGCAAGCGCAAGGTCGTGATTTCGGTTCCCGGTACCGGAGGAAAAAAAAAAAAAAAATACTAACAGAGACAGCAACATGAATGGTGGTGAAGGAGGAAAAGAGCAGGCCAGGAAAGGGGCAGATAGGAACACAGCTCGGCTCAGTCTCTGCCCGTTTCCTGTGTGCGTACTGTTCAGCTCTACTAGAGCTTCCTTATCCAGCACTGTGAGCACGGTCGGGCAGTTCAGTTAGGACATGTATCACGGCTACTGTATCTCTCCACACTGTGTGCACCCTCTGAAGGACTACACACTACACAGAAAGCTTCCTTCATATGCTAAATAACCTTGGACATTGTCATTCTGTTAATTCAGCCATTTGCAAAAGACCTATAGAATTTATATCATCATCATGAAAATCTAGCTAGATAACACTTATTATGCATCCTTATATCCCAAGTAATGTATTAGACTAATGCCAACTAGACAGTTACTAAAGTTATTTATTCAGTGTTAAGAGCTGTTTTCAAAAACGTGAAGCTCTCAAGGGGCCGGGGATTTAGCTCAGTGGCACAGTGCCTGCCTGGCAAGTGCAAGGTTGTAAGTTCGATTCCCAGTACCGGGAAAAAAAAAAAAAAACCAAAACCGTGAAGCTCTCTGTAAAAGGGAACTTTAATTCTGCTAAAAGTGAGATCTGTATGTGTGCTTTGTGTGTGTAGAAGGGCAGAGCAGGAATTATCAGAAGACATTTCACTCAAAAGAAGAAAATGTAGAACTTCTACAGAAGCACAAGAACCTGATGTTTACACACAGGCTGGAGGGGACACCACTAGGACTGCTGTGGTAATGTAAAGAAACTCAAGTTGACAGCATGAAGTCTTTCATCCCTGAATTCTGTGGTTGCATCTTAAGGTCACAGAGCAACACAGTATAAAATCTTTTAACAACTCAAATGACCAGTTTATGGGGCTGGGGATTTAGCTCAGTGGCAAAGCACCTGCCTGGCAAGCTCAAGGTTGTGAGTTCAATTCCTGGTACAGGAAGAAAAACAAAACAAATGAACAAAAAAACAAATCAAATGACCAGTTTACATAATGCATTTTATTTTTAGAAAATGTCCTTACCTTTTTCATGAAACTTGTGTCTTGCCTACAAATTTTTTCTCTTTTTATCTTTAGGTCGGCTACATCTGGTATTATTCTAGAGACAATCAATATATATGCATTATTTAAATGAACACCACAGTTGCTTACAATATTACATCTTACATAGAAAATTACATTTAAATTCCTAAGTCTGAACTATTTAAAACTCATGTCAATGAGTATTTTAAATGTCTGCACAAGGACAGTACTGAGCTTCCAAGTTTAATTAAGAACTGCACAAGTTTAACTCCTAATGCCATTGTAACTTTAAATCAAAACTAAAACAAAACCAAAATAAAATCCATGTAACTAGTGGTTACAAGCAGATCTCCAAAAAGTATATTAAATGACATCTGTTATGGATTTTGTCTGTGTGTCCCCCCAAAGCCTCCTGCGGCCCTGGGGCAGGCTTTTAGAGTTGAATGGTTGTGGGTGTGAGAGCTACACCCACCCTGGGGTGGCTAGTTTGCATATGTAAGGGAGAGGAAAAAGAGTGCTTGGGGCATTCCTCCCCCATTCGGCCTCGTGTGTGTGCTTGCAGCTTAGCTGTGGCTGCTGTCCTGAGATGCAGCCCTCTGCCACGTGCCACTCTGCCTTATAATGTGCCAAGTATGGATTGAACTTCCACGAACTGGAAGCGAAATAAACCTTTCCCTCCTTAATTTTGGGCGTCAGGTATTTTGTCCCAGCAGCGAGAAAAAAGTAACCAAGACAACATCCACACATTTTTTCATTTTAAAATATATTAATAAATTTAGCCAGGCATGGTGGCACACATCTGTAATGCCTGCACTGAGGAAGCAGAAGTAGGAGAACTGCTGAGAATTCAAGGCCAGCCTGGGCTACATAGTGAGTTTGAGGCCATCCTGGACCACGTTAATGAGTCTCTTGTCTCAAAAAAACGAGAAAAAAATGAATAAAATAGGTGAATAAACTGTTTCAACATCACTTAAACAAAAACTGAAAATCCTACATAAGAAAAACCACAATACTAAAACACACTAATTTAGAAAAACAAAACATTATCATTAAGCACATTTCAACATGATACACGACCTGATCCCTCGAAGCTTTGCCCTATTGTCATGGCGATCCATGAGATTATGCATTACTTCTAAGACTAACTGCCTCAGTTCATAATCTTCCATGAGAGACGGTGATAACAAAGGATCCAGAAAAGATCCCGGCAGTGCAGTAACAATCGTCTTCGCTTTGTATCCAGAGGTGACCTTAATATACGGATGAAAATAAATGAACAACCTTTGTCATGAGTCCGTCTTTAGTAAAATTTCCAAATTATTTAAGATCATATAGAAAATACAGACATAATCCTGAAAGAAAGATACAAAAAAATTTGTTGGGTGAAGAAGGATTTCATGAATTTACATAGCATTGTAAGAATGAAATTAATAACACATTTACTGTGTGCTAGGCACAATCCTAAGCACTATACACGTTAACTGTCCTCACTGTATCTTTGTGAAGGAGGCACCAAAGTATTCCTATTTTATAAAAGGAAAATGAGGCTCAGTCAGTTTAAGTATAAGGGATAAGTAGTCAGTATGAAAGAGATATAAAATTAGGTGGAAAAGAGCACAGACAAGACCTACAATTTTTAAATTTAAATTTGCCAATTATTATTTTATTTTCAATTAAGCAGCTGGCTAAAAGCAATAAGTTTTCATTTTGGAAAGCTGCACTTTATTAATTACTTGATTTGACATTTGAGAGGCATCACTATCTCCTAAATTTAAAAAATTTTAAAGAGAATACACTTTAAATGCTAATAAACATTTTAAAACCATACCATATAGATACTCAAATTGTTTCTTTTTTTTGGTACCGGGAATTGAACTCAAGACCTTGCGCTTGCCAGGAAGGTGCATGTGCCCCTGAGCTGTATCTCCAGCACACTGAGCTATATATATCCCTGGCTCAAACTGTTGACTATAGTATAGTTAGGATGAAAAACATGATAACTTAACAGAATTTGTTTAATATAAATGAATATTGAGTCAAGTGAAATTTCAGGGGGGTAATTTATAACTATTTTCAAGATTATAAGCCTATATTAATCATTTAACATTTTTATTTTAGCCCTTATTACAGGATGGAGCTGACTAGTAGCAGGAAAATCAGTAGGACAACTATCTAGCTGCTGAGGAAAACTAAAACTATATCCATACTTTATCCCACATATCTACATATGGAAAGCCCAATTTCAACCTTTTTTGTAAGAAAACAAACAAACGTGAATGTATCAAATTAGGCAAGAAATTCTAAAGCAACACAAAAAGAAACAAAATACACAGGAAGGAACTGATAAATCATTTAAAACTTCTACATGACAAGCACCACAAAAAAATGAAGGTATTTCTGTACTTACACTTCAATATGACATATTTTCTCTGAACAATGAGACTATAAATATTAAATATTTCTAGGTTGAGGTATTGATTTGTAAAGGATACATATTTCTGCTTTGTCCTTGGCATTATGCTAAGTGGAGCTGAATCAAAAATGAATACAATAAAGAAAAAACAGAGGATCTCTTATTTTGGGTGCCGTCTATTGTTCTTCTAAATTTAATGATAACTTTTCATTTTTATGAATTATTTTCCAAACAAGTAGTCATTATTTGGACAGTATGTAAAAGACATAGCATAATACACAAAACACTTTGGATTTACAAGTCTAAGTTCTATCCTTATTTCAGCAACCTTCTTTTACTCAGTCTGAGCCTGCCAGATATTTCCATCTGTAAAATGCCAAGAGTTTCTGCCCTCTGTATGTTTCACCATAATGAAGACCAGATAAAACTACTGAAGTGAGAAATAAGCAGTAAGAAGCCTAGGATAACTAAAGAAGTACACAAACCACAGAAACAACTATGTAGTTATACATTATTAAATAAAAAAGCTCACAATGTGAAGTGATTCCTCTAATCTTTTTAATAATTGAAGGTTTTAATAACTTAAGGTTAAGTGTGCCCTTCACCTGTATTAAATGCCTTACCATAAGCAAAGATCTCAGCAACATTATCTGAATCCGCCTGGTTCCCAAATCCCTAAAATATATAAAATGCTGCTATTATTAATAGAAATTAACATTACTTCATTTACTTATAATACTTTTTACTGGTTTTAACACTTCATTCTTTTTTTTTTTTTTTTT